TTTCTGATGTTTATTATGCCAATCCCATAATTGTATCAATTCTCTCCCGTGAAAGGGGCAGCATAGGCAGTCGGCGTACCAATTTAGATGTTGATTATGTCAACCTATAATGGTATCAATTCTCTCCCGTGGAAGGGGCAGTATAGGCAGTCGGCGTACCAATTTCTGATGTTTATTATGCCAATCCCATATCGTATTCATTCTTTTCAGTGAAAGGCCGAGCTTAGCCAGTCTGCGTGCCAATTCGTTGACATACGGGGATTGCGACAAGAGTTCGTCGCAAACCCTCACGAAACGCAGTAGTCGCAGCAATAGCGATTTGCCGTCATATCAGCAAGAATTTGAGTCCACAGAAACAAGGTAAAGAGTGACACAGAGTCTGAGCTAGCATCGATTCATTGTACATCTTGTGAACTTGAGGTAGTATGTATTAGTATGGTGTGCGCCTATTGTTATATATATATATATATGTATACATATATATATATATGTATATATATATACATACATATATATATATATATATATATATTCTATACGTGTTTGTATTGATGTGTGTCTGTATTGTTACATAAATACCATGTGTACGTCTATTGTTACATTTATATCCTATACATGTTTTATTGTTACATTTATACCTTATTTGTGTTTGTATTGTTACATATAAATACTATGCGAGTCTGTATTGTTACATATATACCATATTGTGTTTGTATCGTTACATATATATCCTATGTGTGTCTGTATTGTTAAATAAATACCATATGTGTGCGTCTATTGTTACATTTATATCCTATACATGTTTTATTGTTACATTTATACCTTATTTGTGTTTGTATTGTTACATATATATACTATGTGAGTCTGTATTGTTACATATATACCTTATTGTGTTTGTATCGTTACATATATATCCTATGAGTGTCTGTATTGTTACATATATACCTTAAATGTGTATGTATTGTTACATATATATCCTATTCATGTTTCTATTGTTACATATACACCATATTCGCGTTTGTATTGTTACATGTATATCCTATGTGTGTTTGTATTATCACATATATACCTTAAATGTGTATGTATTGTTACATATATATCCTATTCATGTTTCTATTGTTACATATACACCATATTCGCGTTGTATTGTATTGTTACATGTATATCCTACGTGTGTTTGTATTGTCACATATATACCTTAAATGTGTATGTATTGTTACATATATATCCTATTCATGTTTCTATTGTTACACATACACCATATTCGCGTTTGTATTGTTACATGTATATCCTATGTGTGTTTGTATTGTCACATATATACCTTAAATGCGTATGCATCGTAACATATATATCCTATTCATGTTTCTATTGTTACATATACACCATATTCGCGTCTGTATTGTTGCATGTATATCCTATGTGTGTCTGTATTGTCACATATATACCTTAAATGTGTTTGTATTGTTACATATATTTCCTATGCATGTTTTTATTGTTACATATACACCATATTCGCGTTTGTATTGTTACATGTATATCCTATGTGTGTTTGTATTGTCACATATATACCTATGTATATACAACTTTCGCATTTGCAATATGCAGCTAGTCGCTTGCGTGCTCAACACATGTTCATTGTACATACTTGCATGTGGGTATATTTAAACGTATCTTTCATACTCTATTTGCGGTTGGAGCGGCGCTGAACTGTCTTTGTCAGTGATGCATATCACACAAGGCACAGTGAACGTATTCACCCAGACCTCGTACAAGGCACAGTGAACGTATTCACCCAGACCTCGTACAAGGCACAGTGAACGTATTCGCGCCACCAGACGTTTGGATGTACTTGAGTGAATCGGACGGTGTTATTGGAGGTGGCGCGGGGCTGATGTGTGTCGAGTATACAGGCTGTGTGGAGGTGAAGCTTTGTAGTCCACAAGCTGGCTGGGTTTGGTTGGCGAGCTTAAGCTTGATGGGGATGTTAGCGGTATCACTTGTTCGTTTGATGGCGGCATGTTAGTCTGTATCTGGACACCCACAGATACACACATGTGCACTCGGTGTATTCTCGAGTGCGAATGGGTTGAACTATACTTGTTCACATATTTCACCCTTATACGCATACCCCTGGCTCCGCGGCTTCTTGTGTTTATACACGTGATCCTGTTGGCGTGCTCATCGGTACATGCACTTGTGAACCCAAACTTCCCGATGATATATGATAGATACGTTTGAATCCTATTGTTTCGATGCATAGTCAGTAGTATAGGCTTCACAATCACGCTCATCTGTTGTATTCTACTCTCGATGTTTTTGCTCTCAGCAGTTCCAAAATAAAGAAGAACAACAAACTGCGCGCGATAAATTCTACATCCGAAATCAGAAACGAAGTCAAGATTTTTGGACATAAATTTGGAGCGGGGTTCGTGGGGTCTCCAATTGAAACCAGGGTCGCAAAAGATGCGAGGTAACTAGGCTTTTATTATGTATGCACATATGGTGTAAAGAGGCTTTTATTCAGTATGCACATATGATGTAAGAAGGCTTTTATATGTATGCACATGTGGTGTAAGAAGGCTTTTATTATGATGCACATATGGTGTAAGACGACTTTTATTATGTATGCACATATGGTGGCCACATTAGAACATCAGCACCGAGGTCGGAATGAGTATATGGGGTGCGGGGTTATTTTTGTACCAATTTACGAGTGTAGCTGTAGGTATAACTCTGCGTTTGACATACACGAAGGTGCTGTGTGGTATCCCTTCATCCGCCGTATGCTTTATAACGTTGAGGTGCTTCTATATACATCCTGATACATTTCGCATTCAATCCTTTCTCATGAGCTCCCGGGATATTCTCGTCATACAGTCTGATTTAATTCCAATCTTCATACCCAATTCTGATACAATTTAGTGCTGCTCCGTCTCCTATCATAAGTCGCAAATCATCCGCAGTCGAAGTACCTTCCAAAATGAACCAAGCTTTGGCACCTGGTCCCAGTACAAAGGGGGCCGATGCTTCACAGTCTTCAAGTTTGGTAACCATTACGGGGATAAATTCGTCTGCGGTCGATGAGCAGAAAAAGGTGACTCAGTTTTGGAATCAGGGCAGTCCTGCACCTAGCCCGAGCAGAAAGGGACCAGCTGATGCGCAATCTCCACGTGCGGTTCGCAAACTTTCGGCAATCGATGCGCCGTCTATGGCGGCCCAATTCCGGAATCAGGACAGTCCCGCACCTGTCTCGGATGGTTCCTCAGTCAGTATGTACCAAGAATATGAGTGCAGGAGTATTATATTTCCAGATATTGGATCGATGGTCTTTCAACTAGCAGCCACACGGACTCTAGACCCATTGTAGTACCATGCCGCGCTATAGGGTTCGTGAGCCGAGGAGTCTCGTGCGTGCCTTCGTAACTAACATAGTGCAATCGTTTGTATGCACACCAATTTAAAGTGTGAAGGGGAGACGCTTCGTAAGCCGATGTTTCAGGGATTTAGGGATTTAGAGATTTAGGGATTTAGGGATTTAGGGATTTAGGGATTTGGGGATTTAGGAATTTTAGGGTTTCATAATCGGTGCCAGGGTGGTGTGCACATGCAGATATTGTGCTTGTGCGTTAGTATGCATTGCAGTAGGAGCTGTGGGCTTGCTGATTCTATTATATCAATACACAATCCTAGGAGTTGCACGCAGCGTATTCTAAAAAGAGGTAGCGATGGCGTAGCTCTCTTGTACTTGTTGTGATTCATTTTTTCATTTGGTTTTGGCTCAATCAAATTGACCTGCGTTCTCGCGCGCGCGCGTGTGTGTGTGGTAATACACCATTATGAACATCCGTAAGCGTTTGGCATAATAATCGCCCGTAGTGTCTCGAAGTCAGCAATTGATGCTACATTTTCTTTTGAATGTGTCTCATTAAGACATATATATCATTCACTAAAAACCCGACATTATAGTGAAGCCATGTCAAGTATCATCCCTGCCTATCGGTATATACCGATACCAAGGCATCTTGATGTGATATATATATATATATATATATACATACACACACACACACAACACACACACACACACACACACACACACACACACACACACACACACTAACTAATACACAACACACACACACACACACACACACACACACACACACACACACA